CCCCAAAACCCCAAAACCCCAAAACCCCGTTCAGCCATTGCCAGTTGAAAAATGGCTGAATTTTATAAAATCGTGCAAGCAAGGAGAAGGGCAGGTGCAGAAGGAATATTTGAGAATGTTTAAGAGGCAAGGGGCTTAGTGCAGAGATTGGAGCCTACGAGTGGTTGTAGTAGCCGGTCCAGTTACAGCTCCAGCAGATGTACCTAAAATTTGATTCAAAGCTTGATTTGTCTGATCCAATAAGTTATTAATTGCTCCAATTCCGTTATTTGATATGCCAGTAGAGTCATTAGTAACATCAGAAGTACCTTGGGCTACATTTCCTGCAGTTGATTGTTGAACCCTATTTCCTGAATCTTCTTCTGAGTAATCAGGAATCTCAGGGACCTCTTCTGAATCTCTTAATTCATTATTCACAAGTAATGATGCATTGTCATCAGATTCTTCTAAAGGTCTCCGCCCATTGGTGATATAGGAAAGAGTCCATGCTGCAAATTCATCAGGATTTTGGCTAAACTGTTTTAGCTGAAGTCTGTTCCCTCCAACAGCAGCTCCAGTGAACTGTCCGGCAGCGTTGAGACCTTGTCCAATGAACTGGTTGGCCATGCCTTCAGTGGCTTCGGTGGCATCGTTGAGGAGTCCTTCGGTGTCAGTAAGAGCTTGGTTACCATCTTGGATACCTTGTTGCATGTCAGCCATGAGTTGTCCCATTCCATTACCTTGCCTATGTTTTTTAGACCATTGTTGAGATATTATGAAAGAATCTTTTTATTGGAATAATATTTAAGCATTAGCAAAGCGAGTGGATGAAAAAAGAAATGACTATTAATTGTAAGTATGAATGAAATCTTACCTGACTCTGAAGGCACTTGTCATAGCAAGAGCCAAGCAAATAACGATTGCTAGAGTAATTTTCATTTAGATTTTAATTAATTATAAAATCTGAGATATTTAAAGTATATAGCCTAATCATTGCAACCCACCAGTTTCTCGATCCCTTTGCAGCCGATTATCAATTTTTTTAGTAAAAAGATAGAAGATCTCTTCAGAATCTGCCATCTTTGAAGGAAGAACTTTGTCAATAACTCTCTAGAACAACTAAACTTGCCATCTTGTAAAGATAATTAAGGTACCAAAAAATGGACAAAATTTGATAACACTTTTACAAATATTCTCTCAGATGATTTATGCAGGACAACTTGCCATTAAGATATCCATGATTCGTTTTATTAAAGAGGTAGCCAAGTATTATTAAATGAATAATCCAACTGACTTCCTAAGAATGGAATCAACAGTGAGGAAGGCATGAAAGCAGATCAAATTGGCTTAATCCCACCAATTTTTAGCAGAATGTTTCTAAAATTTAGAATAATCCAGAGATTTAACTAGACTTTTATTGTGGTGTTACTCTTAAATAAAAGCTAGGTATTGTAAAGATAGCTCAAAAGTTTCAGACAAGTCATTGAAAATGTCATAGAGCATGAGTTTTGAGGTGACCATTGAACTATTCAGTTAATATTCTATAATATCTTCATATTATGGGGTTTTGGGGTTTTGGGGTTTTGGGG